CATTTCAGCCATCTCTGTGAATTATTAACATTACCATTGAACATGAGTAGTGTGTTTTCAAATACTAAACTAGTTTCACAATAGGAGAGATTTTCAAAGGGCCCATTGTACATACGTAGTATCACCAGTAACGCTATTCTGTGCTGCTAGACCAACAGCAGTTTGGGGGGTGTTAGCATGACTGATGGAGGAAAGGCTGCTTTAAGACTTGATCCTGCTTTGATCTGCTCAATAGGATTTTTTTCCATTGATTTCAAGGTCAAATCTGTACGTGAAAAATTGCCTCTATATAGCTGTGTTATTTTTCCATGGTGCAATGGTTAAGGTTCTTTTTTCCCAAGAAAACTTCCTCACATTAACCTGGATAATATAAACATTCTGGAGGAAAACAAAGGCATTTTAGAAAAGCCTGGGCTGGAATCCTTGTTTCCCACAATTCGAATAGCTCTGTTTAATCATACAAAATTAGTCTAGAGTAAATAAAAAGGGCTGCCAGACCATAGCAGTTAGGACAGGCATAACATAGCATGTAAGTTTTGAACCGTGAAGTATCACATCCCATGTGCTGACAACAGGAGTCAGTTTGGGCAAGAGCATTAAAATCCTGGATTTTTTTTTAAGTTTTGAATGTAAACTTACTGGGGAGCAAAGCACAGCCTTCTTACGTCTCTAGAAATGTAAACGAGACATTAATTGTAAATTCTGTTCTATTTGACTTAGAAGTTATTTTGAAAGAAAGAAAGTATAAAAGTTAAAAGCTTGCTACTGTAGTGCTGCTACTTCACTAAAGAATTAACCAGGGCTTGGGAATTTGCCAGAGCTTGTTGCTTTTGGCTCATTTCCAGTGAAACCCTTAAGAAAGCCACCAACATGTTATTGCTGTTAATGCCTTTGTGATCAAACACCGTGGTCTGCAGAAAACATTAGAGCTATGCTAATTTACTCCCATAACTTTATCTGGTAAAAAACTGGAAATAAAGATTGCAGCAGAACATTTCAAGGGAAATGCCACAGTTTTTCATAAAGCTATGGATTATGAAGTTTTCTATGAAATATGGTCAGCCAAATATAAATCCTTTGTATCTAAGGATGCCATGTTATATTGCAGTTCTAATCCCAGCTCATGAATCATTTGTCACACAGGAGAGGGAAGCTGTTCAGATGAGAATAGTTGTAGCCTTCTGATCTTTTAAAGTTTATGTACTCAGGTTTGTAGCCATACCTTGTTTTTCCACACAGACAGGCTTGTTTTCATACGTGGTGCTCGTATCTAGACATTGAAATAACCAGTGGTGATTTTAAAAAGTGGTGGCTTAGAGAAACTGCAGTCATTGAAGGAAAACTTTGACAAAATAAGGGCAATTAAAATAACAAAAAAGGAAGCATGGTTTGGCGCAGAGAAGGAAATAGGAAAAGTGCCAGTCAGTGTAGTTGGAAAGAAATGTAAGTTTTGAAAGAGATACTAGCAGCATCAAACTGGGCCACTTTTTAATAGAGAAGATTCTCACACACAAAAAAATGTGTCTACTGGATTGTGCAAGTATGCAGTATTTTTGAGGATGTTCATTGCTTTTCCAGATGTTTGTGTTATCCTCTGTGGTTTGGCTGAGATCAGAGAGACTAAAAGAAATCACAGTGTGTTTTGGAGATGTGGGAAAGTTTGTTCACCCTGTGGAAACTTCCCTCCAGACTGTATCTGACTTCCAGTTACATATCACATTATGAGAATCAAAGAAACAAGATGGTTTTCTCTTCTCATATTAATTTCAGTTCAGTTCTTAGGAAATATAAACTCTATCTTCTTGCCCCTAACTGACCTCATATGCTTCAAGACAACATTTCCCACTAATAACTCCAGCTCTCCTCCTACTTAGGAAAAGATGGAATATGTGGCATGGGAGCTGTTTTCAGGAATTGGTGAGACTTGATATTCTGCAGGCCAGCCTGAAGTTTTCAGAGAATGGCTAGGGAAAAGGACCAGAAGTACTATTTTGGAGGATGAAGATGTGTTTTAGGGGATTGTGTGTACACATACCATTTCTGCTTGCTTCCTTATAAATATACTGTTTCTTCAAGTACTGAATAAATAATTGTAATTGATTATTTTAAAAAGATAGTACTGTACCTTATCTTTTTGTCTCTCTGAGAACACTCTGGCAGCCAGTTTTGTCCTGCTTGCTAGTTAGTGTCCGTTCTTTCATTGTTTTGGGGAAGTTTCCAAAGAGTTGAAAGAAAAAAATAAAATTTATTAATTAAGTTTATTAATGTTTTTCATGCCACTGGCTAGGGGATTATGTTGTTTTATGTAGAATTATGTAGGATGTTCAGTCTCACCTCCCCTATAACCTGGCCATATTACTTTGGGAAAATTGCTTAGCTTGTTTTTAGCTCATTATGCCTATTCATAGAGTATAAAAATGTATATGTCAAGTAGCAGTTACAAGACTTCATTAATTAAAAAAAGATCTATTTCTGAAATATAAAATTATAATTTTTGATCAGCAGTAAGAATGTGGTGAGCAAGATTAAAGGAGGATGAAGAGGAAAAAGAAAATAATGGGTTCTAGACTTCCATTGATCAAAGACTGATGATTACTAACTGGAGGGTTAAATGACAAGTAATTTCATTTAGGTGAATAGAGTACTACCATATGAGATTGCAGTCAGGCTGTATCAGCAGTACTACTTGCCATCTAGCAGTTTTATGATGAACAAGAGTACTTAATTCTCAGAACTCTCTCCCCTTTGAGGAACACAGAAAATGTTTGTATGGCTGGATAACTCCACTACAACTGTAAATGCTTGAATTGTTGTGCAGGCATTATTATTTCGTATTATTTAATTTTAAAGATAAATTATGTCAGCTCTAGAAAATTAGAATCTAAGTTTCAATCAAAGACTTTTGTTTTGATTGATGGTTGATCATGTTATGATGATGGAGACAAGGATTTTGATGTAAAAGTGGATGTAGGATTTTACATAGCAGATTTAGAATCTACTTTTATAGGTTTAAAATTACTCTGATGACCATTAGAAATTTAGAGCAATTAGACATATTGGCTTTTAAACTATATGTTTCAGCCTTATCTCAAGGGACGTTTCTGTCCTAGTCTGGTAAAAGCCCTTCGTTACCATGGTACTAGTAAATAATATTTTACTCATGGTTCTCTTTCGTTTGTACATTAGAAAAATAATTATTCCAGTCCTGAGTTGATGAATGCCTTGATTTGCATTACATAGGCTTAGTTTTTTATAAAAAAACTACCTCATCGTCTGCCTTTTTGATATTTTTTCTAATTCTAAGGCTTTTTCTGCAGAACAACTCCCTGCACTAATTTTTTGTGTGTGTGTGTGTGTGTGTGTGACATAAGAAGGTGTGATTCAGTCATTCTCTGCTAGGCTTTCCTACTTCTTTGCCTTTCTTTTGTCTTTCTGAAGTGTTCTGCAGCATAGATCTGCATTTAGATGGAAGGGGATCTTTTCTTTTTAATGAGGTAGCTGTGACCCTCCACCTGCAAAGGTACTATCAATGCCATGATCATATTAGTTTTGCTGAGCCAAAATACATTCTAAGCACATAAATTAGAGCATGACTACCTACGAATGTCTTCTCTTTTGTCACTATTTCTGCAAAGCACATTGTCTCTATAGAAAGTTATCGTAGCAAGACCACAGAAGGTGAACAGCTATTATACAAAATATACTGAGAAAAGAGGCTATGCCCCTTTGCCAGGTGAGGGCTTGAACAAACAGAGCACGGCTTCATTGGAGACCACAGCGTGCCCCCTGCATGTCCCCCTCTCTCTGCTGAAGGAGAACGTGCCAGGGAACAAGGAGCAAATACAGAATGCGACTTGCAACAGGGCAGAGTCGCGGCCATGTCCACGGGTGTGCTCTATGCGCATCAGGAGCAGCCACATGGGGCAGCTGGCCCTTCAGGGTCCTGGGGTCTGCGTGCCCATGAAGGGGCTCCTTCTCCTCCTCCAGAGAGCTGGGACTCAGCCACCACTGCAGCACCAGTGGCCTGGCTCCTGTGGCATAAAACAGGGAGGAAGACACTTGTGGGCCCTCCCTAGCAACTCACTTGTGTCAAACATAAAGCTTGGAAGGCACAACAGTTCATTCCCTAGGGATTTCAACTTGTTTTCCTCAGGAAGAAAAATAGCCTACAGAGTTGTGCTGCATTTTGGGCAAGCTGCTGACTCAGTGTTCAAGCTGAAGAGAATAATAAATGATCCTGAAAAATAGAGGAGTCATTTTGTTTTTTCACTTAGCAGCAGTAGTGAGTGTGCAAGTGAGTGTGCATGAGTCTTGTCTTAAACCTGGGGTTGAGAATTGTTTCCTTTAGTGAAGAAATGTATATTTCTATTGTGCTTTAGCTAAGTGGTGACACTTTACTCATGAAGAACTGACATGCAATGCGAGAACAAGGCCTTACAAAATCCTAGCATCCTTTTTTTTTTTTTTGTTTCTATCTACTGGGAATGTGCAGATTTCTGACAAAAAGGTATTTGAATAGGTACCTACCCTGAAATTTTAGATTCCTCTTTGAAGACATGTGCAAATGGTTGTTAAAAACATCCCATTCCTTTTGTAAATAAACTGTAATCAATATTGGAAAGAATGAAAACACTTGCTTAAAAAGTGTTTAAAGAGCCCATCCTCGATTATTGGATATTCCCCTATTTCAAAATGCAAATTCTGTCTTTATTAGTTCAGCAACTGCTTTGTGAGGCTCCATAATGAAAAACTGTGTTTATTTTCTCACAGCTAATTATTATTTTCAGAACACAAGCGGTCTGAAATATTTGTATTGTACCTTAATGACTGAGATATGGAACAGATTTATTTCTAATTTTCTATCTTAAGTAGCTTCTTAAAGATAGATCATACAAACTTACTTTATTTAAAAGACTAATACCAACAATATAGAGTTGATTTATTGATATGATGCTTGTCCCTCAATCAAAAAGATTTTGTACTGTTTTCTTTTTAGGAAAGAGGCACAGCTGGATGAAGAAGGACAGTTTCTTGTCAGAATAATTTACGATGATTCCAAAACCTATGATCTGGTTGCAGCTGCAAGCAAGGTCCTTAGTAAGTAATATGGATATTCATCACATAAAAGATACCCCCCACCCCCAAAAATCCATGTAGCAGAGAGAAATAAGATTTAGCAGAGGAACTGAAAACAGAGTATTGCTCAAAGAGAGAATTTTTTAAAAATCTCATTAGAAAGGATTTTATTTTTTTATTTATCTAAGATATTTTTAGACTAGATATAAGGAAGAAATTCTTTACAATGAGGGCGGTGAAACACTGGAACAGGTTGCCCAGAGAGGTAGTGGAGGCCCCATCCCTGGAAGCATTCAAGGCCAGGTTGGACGGGGCTCTGAGCAACCTGATCTAGTTAGTGGTGTCCCTGCTCACTGCAGGGGGTTGGACTAGATGACCTCTAGGGGTCCCTTCCAACCCAAAACGTTCTATGATTCTATGATTCTATGATTTTTATTACTTCCAAAGCACTCCAAGTCTTAGGTACACCTTAAACTGCAGTAATCAGCTCATCCACAGAGCACGGTCAGTATTACAGGCAGTCATGAAGTAACAAAATACCGCTGTAACTACCTCGCCAGTACACCCAGGTTTTAACCACTGCTGCAAGAGCAACTCATGAATGGTTGGAACCCGAGAGCAGTCCTCTCTGCTGAACAAGCATGCTAAGTTACAGAAATGTTTGTGGCATGCACACATCCCATTTCATGTTTGTCATTGATTTGGGTCACATTCAGTTTCAATCATTGCAGCTCTGGTCTGGAATTTAAAAGGTAGAATTATGCCCATCAGCATTATTTTATCTGCAGACCCAAGTGTGGTGTGATTTTGTTTTGAATCAGCAATTAGCCAGGAACCCTTATGACTACCATGACCGTAGTAGTTATGTTGAATTGGAGCAGCTGATGTAGTTTCATGCTATTGTAAATCAGAAGTAACTCCCCTGAGGCGAGCACTAGTAACAAATGAGTTCCTTTATTTTGAAGCAGTGGTTTCTTATCTGTATAAAAATCTAAAAGGTTATACATGCATGAAATGCACACTGTGGCAAAGTCGTAACAGTAATTGGTAAATCCCAATGAAATTCCTGTATTGAATACTCATTTGCCATGTGGACCCTCAATCTTGTTTTTCTCATATTCTTGACCTACTGGATCCGGGTAGGGTTTAGGTACTGTCTTTCTTATTTATGAATACAAGACTAAAGTAATAAGCAAAGTGTGTGAAATGCAGTGTTTGGACTGAATCATATTTTCCTGTTTTAACTAGATCTAAATGCTGGGGAAATTCTTCAAATGTTTGGGAAGATGTTTTTTGTGTTTTGTCAAGAATCTGGTTATGATACAATTCTACGTGTCTTGGGCTCAAATGTCAGAGAGTTTTTGCAGGTAAGAATTTTGTGCCAAATTATTTCAGATACCAGACAGAAGTATGGTCTAGTCAACAGATTAGACTGAGATTTGGAGATACAAGTTGTACTGTGTAATCTTCCAGTTATTTGTGGAGAGAGGTGTCTGAAAACTTTCTTCCTTGGTGGTTTGTATTCTGTAGAGCTTTCCACTGCTCAGCAGTTTTGGCATTGTTAATACATTATTCAGTTGCCTGGTAGAGTAATAATTTTCCCATAGCATATTTGACTGTTCAGTTTCATAAAAAAGGAGTGAGAAGGCAGGTAAGCTGGGGTTGCAGAGAGGCATTCATAAATCTGAAATTTCATTTGAAATTCCAAGGAAAAGATTTTAACAGGAGTTTTCATATGTAACAAAAGTATGGAGTACAAGAGACATGAAAAAACCCACCACTTCAAATTGTCTATATGTGTTAAGTAAAAAGACTTACCTTGTTTATGCTAACAGAAAATTTGTAGGTTATTTCTTCTCCAAAGTTCTCTTTGACTAATTATAGATACTGGTTATTTCTACTTGTATGTTACGTACAGAGCTAGGGCTCATACACAATTTAAGACATTATCCTTCATCCATTAACTGAGGGTGGGATAGAGCAGCAGTGTTTAGGTCAATTTTTGTGCTTTCCTAACTGCAGAACAGCATGATACTGCACTGTAAAACAAAATTAAAATAATTTTTCAATAACATGGAAGAAAAGTAGTGCCTTCTCTGAACTGTGATTTCTAGAAAAACTGGGCTTTCCTTTTTTGTCACCTGAAAATTGTTCACTTCAAAAAAACACTTTGGATTTAAGATTTGTGATATATATCACTCTTGGAGAGAACTGTGTGCTGTAATGAGTTTAAAAACACTGACCCACTTAAGATTTCACAGGAGTTTGCCCAAAAGCTGAGTGTCAAATCTCTGTTGATTTTCACTGGAAATTTAGCAGCCTCTTGTCATCTGTTGCCTTAAAGTCTCTCCAGCAATAATAAGTGAAAAGAGCAGAGTGCATGGTTTGCTGGATTATTAGAATATTTACTTCTGTATCTCACTACCTGGCCCAAAACCTGGATTATTCCAGAGCACCCTAGATGTCATCATCCCAGATTTTTTGTACAAATCCTATGGGCCATAATTGCTGGGCAGACAGACAGGGTATGCTCCAACATACTACCATATGTGATCTGTATACTGTTGTCTGTCTGTGAGATGTGACATCATTTATATTTTATAGCTTCACTCACAGGCTGCCCTCAAAGCAAGCCTTCAGGTAAATGTAACTTTTAAAGATGACTCATGTACTGAAGCTGAGATTAAGGGTTGAGCAAGAATAGCGGAGGAGGAAAAAAAAGTGTAGCTGGCCTGTTGCTTCATCACTTTGGGTACACATGGATGGGCCAGTCCTTCCCTATTCCTCTCCCTCATCCTGTTTTCCATATAGTATACTTCTCTTTCTGTTCCTTACCATGTGTGATGTTGAAAAGACTGGACACGTTTGTAGTGCACACCAAACCTCTATAAAAGCGTGAACAGCTTTGTTGCAAATCCTGATTTAGGATCCTGCCAACTACACCAATTTGTTGCGGATGAAGTGAGAGAGAAGCAAAAATATGCTTTATTGATATAAACCAGTGAGTTAACAAGGTTCAGTGATAAATGCAACAGTGGTTTAACAAGACTTGTGCACACCAAACCTCTATAAAAGTGTGAACAGCTTACATTTATATTCTTCTAATGACAATATTTTAAGCTGCTTTGTTTGAATTTCAGTGTTAGCAGATGACATTGGCTATTGTGTACTTCTGTAAATTTTAACAGGACTAATGTATTAGTAGCTGTGCCAGAAGTGTACTTTTTAGCTTTTTATTATGATGGAAAATCAACGTTATCCATGTTTTATTATTTTTGCATCTTCCAGCAGTTGGATTCGGTCAGGAAATGAATTTATATACCTATTACAAAAATAGGTGCAGATGGGTTTTAAAGTGCTTAACTTTTGTCAAATTCTTAAAATACATAATAGAGTTCCAAAAGGTGCTTTTTGAAATCTGTACTGAGTCCAGGATATATGAAATAATTGAGGGCTGCAGCTTTTTAAAGCATGTGAAAATAAACCTCATATTTATGTTCTGTTTCCCTTGACATCTCAGAGAAAATTTGGTTTATTCGTAGATACAACCCAGGTACTTCAAGCTTCATGAAAGAGGAAAAAGCATGACTAAATCTAATATTTATACTTTCTATGAAAAACACAGACCTGGGGAAATGCAAATCGTATTGAAAGACACTGTGCCAAAGAGAAGCAGTGTGAAAAGAGGTACCTCCTAAGAAACCCGAAGTGTGCTTTTATGTTATGTTCAGTAGAAAGCTACTGAATGAAAATCAAAATTGGAGTAGTGGTTAGTTCTCTCATTTATGGAATCATTTACCTGGCTATTTAGTTGTTCATAATTGCAGTGCAATAAATCTCAGGGGACTAATTCCTCTTTTAGAAAAGTTGCCAGATGCTCTGTACCACACAGAGCTGAACAGCGTATCTTTGTATTTCAGGTGCCAATCACAACTCTTTTTCTTTCAGACAGGCAAGGTTGTGTCTGATTTAGTATCACTTCTTGTTGTTGCTTGGAGATCCCTTTGTGTTTCACCATGGAGCTGATCACTGCTCTACAAAGCTCTAGGATTCATGTCTCTGGTCCCAGCACAAGCTCTGGCATACATCTGAGCAGTCTAGGAGCCAACAATTCAGGGAGTGAGCTTAACCTATTGTAATCTGTACCTGACTGCACCTCTGCCCCACAGCAGGTGAACAAACTAGAAAAAAAGACAAATATTTTTCTTTCAGAAGCTGCAGTATCACTTTAGAATGGATCAAACACAACAAAATACAGGAGTGGGAGTGACAATGACAGTGTCCAAATTACAAGATCTGGGAGTGATTTCAGATCCCGTGGTCTGGAAGCATGTATCTGCTGCTTCTTGACTATGTGTTGTAGCAAGGTTCTGAATGCAGTAAGCTCTTTGCTCACGCCATAATCTGTATGCATGGGGAGAAAAGACACATTGGGGACTGGAAAGCATCCTGGGGCAAGTCCTCCCACTCTGGATGATTAGAGAGTCAAAACTGAGTGGTGTATCACATGGGCTCGCCTGTGACGCTGCTTGGACAAAGTCAGTAATGGGGTTACTGGGTGGCAAAGTGGTCTTGTAAAATGGGGCTGCTGCCGTTTGTTAGTAATGTTAATAATTAGACAACCATTGTATAAAAATTCTGTCCTTGACATTGGCCATTTCCCGTAACAAACTCCTTTTGAAATTCTTCAGGTGTTGTTGACTGTGTAACTGGAAGATTATCATCTTTTCCCATGTATCTCCTTAAGAGTTTTTTTTTCCAAAAGGTCAATACAGCCCAGCTGTTTCTGAGGCGTGTGTACTGGAAGAGCAGTTCTGGACCCGATTAAGGAGATTGTGGGACACTCCCTCAGAGCCAGTCAGCTCTCGCTCTTTTCTCATCCACAGTCTTTTGAAACAGTCTCTTCCAGTTTCATTGTCCTGAACCCTGCAAAGTTCTTACAGAATTTGCCTTCAAGCATTATACTTTTGCAATTGAATGCCCACTAACAGCTGGAATGAATGGGCTCTCAGATTGTTGCCTCTTCGAGTTTTAATTTGGAGGTGTTGATATAGTAACAAAAACATGAATTTGAAACAAACTAAAAAATTGAAGGAGGAAGTTCCAGGCTGAGTGCATCCTACGGAATTCATTTCTAAGAGTCTCATTTCCTCTGGAGGCCTCCCAGGAGAAGAGGCAGCTGTTCAAGCACTTCACCACTCACATGAAATCTAGTTCAGTATGCTTCCACAAATTCAATGATCGACAGATGCTCTTGAAAGGTGGAGAATGGCCCAGACATTGAAAATATTTTCACCTCACTTCTTGTGGTGGCAGAAAACAATATGCAAAGCCTGGTGCTAGCAGTTACCTGGGGGTGAGTGGGAGAACAACGTTTAAAAAATGCAGTATAGTTCTGGACTTCAGGTGTAAAGGAGTTGTATGAATTTTACAACATAGGTAAATATGTGGGTTGCAACACTATCCAGCAAGGTTGCTCTAGGTTTCTCTTTCTGTGTTAAATATACAGTAAATAGCAAACTGGAGCCTTGATAATGGCTTCATAATCAAAGTCGGAGCTAGCCTTGTGTTCTAAGTGTGACTTTGATCTCATTGTTCTCTTTAATGCCCTTATTAGGTATGCCTATCAATTTATTATTTAGCTTTTCTCTCCAGATAGCAATTTGTCTAGTCAAAATTTAAAGTTAAATACATAAGAAGTCCAGGACATCAGCTGGAGAAATAGATGACCTCTTCCCTTTTTTGAATAGCCTGTTCTGAAACACTATTACAGCAGCTATGATATGTTCTATGTATTCTGTGAATTTTTTCAGTTATTCTCAAAGAAAGTATGTATTTGAGGTTGATCTTTTAATCATTGAAATCTTTACTTCAAAATTTGAGACTTTGTCAGGCCCTGAAAACTTGGGTTGACTGTTACGGTGTCAGAACTAGCCTGTTTCATTGAGATTAAAGAAAAAGATTAGTATTTATTCAGACACACGTATTTGTATCTGACACCTAAATTCACATCCAAAGAAGAGATTATGGGGACTAGAATTTGGAAGGGATGAAAGTGGATATGGTACAGGATTGAGAAACACACACAAGGTCCTTAATCATCGGAGTGTTTAAAAATACAGCGTAGTCAAGCATGAATTCTTATATCTGGAGTAATTTTTAATAGTGCTAATTTTGACACCAGTCATTATCCAATTATTGCCATAGTCCATGGAAAGAACATCGTGAGCGACCTGAAAAGCCTGTGATGACAGTTCTACAAACAATAAGGCAAATACACAGGGATTGTGAGCAGTAGGAGAAAGGAAATGTTCAGATTAGACAAAACATGTACTTACTTTCTTCGGAATTAACAAGTGTGAATGCCTTATAATCATGTTTTTAATTTTTTCTTCCAGAACCTGGATGCTTTGCATGACCACCTTGCTACTATTTACCCGGGCATGCGAGCCCCTTCCTTCAGATGCACTGATGCAGAGAAGGGGAAGGGACTCATTCTGCATTACTATTCGGAAAGAGAAGGTCTCCAGGATATTGTCATTGGAATCATTAAAACAGTAGCTCAGCAGATCCATGGTACTGAAATAGATATGAAGGTAATGTCTGAAGGGATGTACACATTGGAAGTTTATGTCAGTAGGACAAAATCGTGAAAATCAGAAGTGAAGTGATGGTAAACAATCATTTTAATTGCTGCTGTCCTCTGTGAAGCAGTGGTATCAGTATGGTCTCAGGAAGAGCCATCATAACTTGGGTTGCTTTAAGGACAGGTCAGCCATGTGCTGAGAAGCCCAGCCCTGATTTGCAAACAGACCCAGTCGGGAACAATTGAGAACAATATTCCCTTATTCAAAGAAGGAGATTACATGTACAGAAATTATGTTCTGTGTTAGTTGGTGTTCTTTTTTCCACTTTATTTGCTATTTGGCATATATTTCATACTGTCGACTGTGTTCTGTGAGAACATGGACATTTTGTCTCTGTGTCCTAGATTGTCATCTGTGTGTAAACTGAGGCAGATGTGCATTGATGAGGCCTGGCTGGTGAGCAGAGTGTTTTCCTCCCAGCCTGCATGCCAGGTCTGTCCCAGAACTAAGATGTGTTTGTGGGTCTCATACTCGCATTTTATGGGATTGTGGCTGGATATACACCTACAGCCCCAGAAGTGGAAAAACATTCCTCAGTCACAGAGTTTACGTAAGGTCTTACGTGCTAAGTCTCTTGTGAATTGGGAAAGAGGCTTCTGCTTTGTGTCCATACAGAGCAACAGAAAGATTTAATTGGTCAGGCCTTGCATATGTAATGGTTTAAAATCAGAGCTTGATTCAAGGCACAGATATAACTGGGGGAAAACAGTGAATAAAAGCTTTTTGGTTTTAGAAATATTGCAACTGATGTAAAGTACTTTTCATCAAGTAGAAAAAAATCTAAGCGGGTACAGCAAGCATTCTTTTTTTCTTTTTAACTATTCCATAGTCCTATTATGTTTCTAGCACAGTTTCATTGTATACCTGCTCAGAAAATCTGTTCCAGTTTCATGAGTGTATCACAAAAACATGATCTTGCTCAGATAAGAGATTTGCAAGGAACCCAATGACAAAGGTATTTGTACTGCTATATCACAGTATTTGCCTTTTAGGTTTCTTGTTATAAGCTAGCTCAGGTTTATGGTGAATGGCTAGTTCTGTATAGTGATGGTGATATACTTGATGCCCTTGTTTAGATTCTACTTTGTAGAAATCCATAGTCCAAACTTTTACAGCAGGTGTTAGTAATCAGATACGAAGGATGCAACAGAATCAAAACAGTCTTCTTCTTAGGTCCCTGTTTATTCAAAGTGTTGAGACAGACAAGGAGGACCATATTGGAAAGTTGGCTGCAAGACTGCTGAAGCTGTTGCTTGACAAGCGTTTCTTTTGGTAGCACAGGCAGCTTACGCAGTCCCCCTTCTCTTATTGCTCAGGCTTGTCCTATGAGAGCTTCTTCAGCTGTGTCTCTCCAGCTGTTGTGAAGCTATAAAATAAACTAGACTGAGGAAATGAACTGGGGTTCAAAATCACAGGGTTTTTTTCTGGGTTATTTTTACCCACATGTGTTCCTTTATGTGGTTTGGTGTTCTATCAGAGAGAGTTCTGCCAGCATAGTTGAGGGGTCATGCAGAGAACAAAGTGGTCAGTGGGGCAGAGTAGAAATCTGGGTTGTGCAAACCAGCCACCAGAACAACCTTTTGACAAACTGTCCTCAATCTGAATGTTATTTTCTTGAGAAGGTTGTACTGGACAGTACTGATATCCATATAGAACTCCTCACAAACAAAATATGTTCCGAAGAGTTTTAAATATTGATTCTAAATTTACTTCTCATTTTCATTTGATTTTGTTAGGCTTTTCTGGAAATTTTGTTGTTGTACTGTAATTAAGTAGAAATTTGATAGTATTGGCCAAGCCTATTGTAAGTAAGCACAAAGTTTAATTTAAATCCAAACTGTTCCTCCAGACTGTCTGAGCCAAAAGCACAAAGGTGCCTAAAAATTAATATTACCTCTAAACTGAAGAAAGTGCATACTGTCTGTATCTTATTTTGTCTGTTACTGTTTTTCCCTTGTCCCTATTAGAAAGTCATGTGCCCTCGACCCTGAACTTTTTCTTCTCTGCTGGTCAATAAAGCTTAGCTTTTGACACCTTCAGTGACGTTAAATACTGCTTTACTGTGCAGGTACTCACAAACATCAGGGGTAGATAAGCAGAGAATAGTCAGTTACTTGTTTCTGTAGGGTGAGAGTGCCAAAATTTGCAGGTTACCCACACAGACAATGAAAGTCTCCCTCCATTACTCCACAGGTCAACTATTAATCATTAATGGTACAGAGTGAAGGTTTTAAAGCAGGATAAGTCTGCCACTGTGGTACCTGGGTAGTTTTACACTGTTTAAAAAAATGAGCACAGGAGAAAAAAAATCGACTGACTTTTTTCATCTCGATCCCTTACCTCATAATTTAGTAAATTAATCCTTTCAAGTTTCAGACTTAGTAATGCATCATTTCAAATAGCACAGCACAGAAAAATAATGGAGTTGGTTTTCATCCCCTTAGATTTTGTGGACCAATCAATGCCTCTTCTGTAAAATTTTGGTTTGGACTTTAGTTAGGATTTTGCTTAAGGAAGATTTTTTTTTTGAACTGATAAGAGCCTCAGTGCCTAGCCTTGAGTTTCTGATGTTATTGTGGGAGTTGCCTTCTGAGTTGCAAGAACAGAGCTGAGATTTCTGAGTTGTCTTTCCAAATCTCTATACCCAAAGCATTTATGTAACGATCCAACACAGGATTGGTTTAATAAGTTCTGCAGTTCTCTTTATATTAGTGTAAAGTTGATACCTGTAATTTGATGTTTCATACTTTATTGTCCACTTTTCTTCTCTGGCTGTCTAGAACAAATGCTTACCTAAATCTGCTTGAGAGAATACATGCTTCTGTGTCTGTATTTTCATGAAGTTTTGCTTGAATTTGTCTTACATATTACCCGTTTCTGTGAAGGTGGTAGCAGATCTTAATTGTTTACAGTAATACTGTTTTTATTAAGTGGTTAGATTTTGTTTCATGGGTTACAGAGGATCACAGAATAGCAGAAGTTGGAAGGGACCTCAGGAGGTCATATCTCTCTTGTACTGAGGAGCCCACAACTGGACACAGCACTCCAGGTGTGGCCTCTCCTGTGCTGAGTAGAGGGGAAGGGTCACCCCCCTCAACCTGCAGAGAAAACCTAAGAAATCTCATGACCGCAAGAGGAAGAAGAAATATTGAGAAAAACGCATTGTGGTTTGTCCCAAGTTGTTTCTTTTTGTGGAGAAACAGCTAAATGAAAAAAAAAAATGTTTAATTTTATCACCTTTCTGCAGTTTCACACAGACCTATTTTATATATGCATACATATATATGTATACATTTTCATCTGAAATACAGTAGAGCTTTCTTTTTCCATGGGGAATGTGCCTTTTCTTTTAACACCTAGGGTATGTGTATGCTGAAGGTGATGAAAAAAATAAAAGGTCCCAGTTTGTCTCTGTTAAACTCTGTTAGTACTGAAAGGAAGGCTGTTTTGAACTTGGATTCAGGATTCCAGCTGGATAGTGCAGGAAAGCACAGGTTGACATTAATTGATTAATTAGTTAAAATCCAATTTGCCTTATCTTCTCTAGTATGGTAATCCATTTTTAGCTAAACAGAGCTAAGACTATATAATTTTTGCAGCAGGTAGTGTCCCAAGAATTATTGCTGACTTTGAGAACACGCTAAGAATATTTAAGTTCTGCTGGACTCAATAGAAGAACTAAAAATCTTCATGGTGCTGGTGACCAGCTTTGGCATGAGATCTCTGTTAGCAGCCTTCTGGCTATGCCTTCTCTTGCTTCACTTGTCAGAGGTTGTTTGTGTATAAATGAGGGTGACCTGTGAAGGTGAAGTCAGGACAGAGATTCCCTCAAGGCTGCAAATGGTGCGGGTCAACAAAGAATGTTGTACAATCCTACAAAGCCTAAAAATCTGTTGTGAAAACAGACTTCTGCAGGTCTGTTATTATCTGAGAGCAGACTGTCAAAATCTTTCTTTTAGATGGTTTGCAATATCAAATGAGAAAAGGCCAGGGGAAATCCATGTCAAGACGGTAATTTCTGACTGTCTCATTACTAATAGCAATATAGAAAAACAAAGCCAGAATGTGACCAGCTGGAGAGCTGACCTAAAAACTACTTACGTAGTTGTCATGGAGGACAAGCAGTACTGATCCATACATTAAAATGCTAGCTGTGTATGAAGGTAAGTCAATTGTGGAACATAATCAGCCTCTAATTCTGACACAAGGACAGCAGGAAACTTCATTAGCTCCAGGCTCAGAGGTTCAGTTCAGTGAGACTCTGCCTTGAAACCAGCTGCCAGGTGGAGATAGCCCCACAGTTTTAACTTTGGTTCAGTTCAGTGAGACTCTGCCTTGAAACCAGATAGCCCCACAGTTTTAACTTCGGGTTTGCAAAGCTAGAGGTGGTACCGTTTCCACAGTGAACTGCTTTGCCTCAGGATCACCCTGAAAAAGCTGCAGTGAAATCTGTCAAGTAGCATCGCACCGTTGGTTTTGATCAGAAGACATCAAGAATTTCACCCTGTATTGACCTTTAAATGGCAAAAACGTGCCTTTGTATTAATCTTCACAATCTGATGGAAAAAGATCCCTGTCCAAGGGCATTCTGTCCCTCCCCCATGCTGAGATACGAATGTATCTCAGGGTCATGCTCGTATCTATAGAATTGAGTCTTGTCTTGTAGATAAATCAGTGAAAGTTTAACAGCATGTGTTCGTTACACATGATGTATCACAGTGATACTGCTTGATTTAGTATCTTGTGTGAAGCTCACCAAATATATTAAACCACAAAGTCATTTTAAAATAACTGTTCTTTGAATTGTGATTCCCTGAAATATTCATGTGACTTTTCACTTGGCTAAGCAAGGACAAACTCTGAAGATGCATCTTCTGGAGAGCACAGGCAGGTTACCCGTTAGATGTTACATATTCTCTTTGAAACCAGGAGAGTGATTTTTCCCTTCAGTTTTTGACTGCAGTTACTATGGTGATTGAGCTCTTAGATGTGGTGAAGTGATGTCACTTCACCAGCTAAGACTGCAGGGGAGGGAAGAATTAGACTTGATTCCTGGCTTTGTTGCTTCTGTCACTGAACTTCTATTTGTCAAGCATTTAACAGAGGCTTCTTCAACAATATTTAAATGATACTGAAATTCTGTGGGTTGCAAACTTTGCTTGCAGAATGAAACAATGCATAAGTTCTATTCTAGTTAAGCTTCCTGCAGAGTATCTAGGGCAGGTGTTTATGCCAGAGAAGCGTCTGGCCAATTAGGTTGGATCTGAAGGTACAAGGATGAAGGGACAAAATTTAACGTTATGTTAGTGGCCAGAGTGCTCATTTTAAATTTGCTGACAAGGTGGATGAAATCATGAGATAGGAAGATTAGATAGTGTATAAATGATGGGAGCAGAAAAGACATCATGAAATTACATATCCAATGGGAAGTTATTTAAGGATGAATCAGTAGCTTGCTTAGCCTGGAGAGGGGTATGATTGTAGCTTCTGTTAATGTGTGTGCTTCATGTCTGTGCATGGATGGCCAGAATCAAATTCAGTAAACCAGCCACGTCCACAGCATATCAGGTTTACCAGGAGTGTGCAGCTGGTGCTGTGGCTATCTTGTAGATCTGACACATTTCAATGTGTTTGGCCTGTAGTTCATTTGCTGCACTACTGTAATGCACTAGTACAGCAAGCATTTCTGGGTGCGCTGAAGTCTGGTCAAAAATAGTGTTGCAAATAAACCTGAAGATGCTTGGGAAATTTGCAGTTTTGCAGTGTTGCTGACACCGTTCTAATCTATAAAGGTTAGGAAAATAGCACATCGTGGGTGATGACTGACTTCATCACTGTGTAAGCTTGTAGGATCTGTGGAGGGTTGTGTCTCAAACTTAGCTAGATGTCTTGAAGCATGTAGCAGTTCTAGTTTTATAGGTGAAATTTTTAACCAACACTTGTGTTTTGTTTATTGATGCATAATTCATTTCTAATAAATGGAAAAAAAAGGAAAGTTACGAAAAATCTGTTAGGTGCTGCTCAGTAGCAGGAAAAACCCTTTAAGTACAGGTGCAGGTTGGTAACAGAATACTAGTATGCAGTGTCTAAGGTGGTCATTGGGTGTTAATATCTCTGGAAGGTGATGTGGTGTTAATATGAACATTTCCTTAAAAATTATTAGATCTTTAAAAATTAATTTTAGGACTGCTTTGCTGAATGAAGAAGCTTTTCATCCCAGGTATCCATTTTTTTTCCAGTCGTGGCAAGAGCAACTCATTTAAGTAAAATACAAGACTGGGAATGATCTGGAAGCATAGATCAATTCTAGTGATATTTTGAAAAATGTTAGTGTGTATAATCTCAGCTATCCCTGCCCACAATAATAGTAATAATAAAAAAAAACACCTGTGGGAGTGTGTATGAGTGATAGAAAGTAAGAACTAAGACTGTAACTGCATTCTGACAGTCCTCAGTATGGCCACAGTCTCTCACAATTTCAGGGGTAATAATTTAAAAGAAGAGGAAGAGAACAGAAAGCCTTTAACCCCTGAACTCAGAGAACTAGGTCTCCATCTACTGTGTTCCATTTTCCTAGACAAACCCACATAACATATTTCCTCAAATGACCACCAGATATTCTTTCTGAGGTTTACCTCTTACTAACTCATAAATTACCAGTTCTCTTTGCCACACATTGCCATGTAGATTAGCAGTACAGTTTCTTGAGGAAATAAGGTTTCATCATCGTTAACATTTGAACTTGTTCATACATCCAGCTTTAGGTACCTACATTAGCTGGTAAATTTAATAGACTGATCTTTGTCTAAGTTACTTACATATGCAATAGAAAGAGAAGACTAATGCAGCACATGGTATAGAGCACCTAAATCGGGCTCCTGCTCTGAACTGTCCTCCAGAAAAGCCTCTTTCCTTTAAATCAAAAGTCAAACAGGAGATCAAGGAACACTCCCTTCTTAAATGAAGCATCATTTAGCAATAAAATATTGTTCTCTTGTTTGACACTTGTTCACTTGTATAGGAACAAATAAAGGAATCAGTGCTCCCCAACCAATCAGCTAGCATGGCTGACAGTTGTGGAGGAGAAGTATTTAATAAACTAAACATCTTGGGGATCAAGTACAGTGTTTGTGCATATCTGTTCTATTTTCATACTGTAACTATTAATCTCTGTGGTTAGACTATGTGTAAAGGGCAGAATCAGGATGCATTACAGATTTTAAGAAGTCTTTTTTTGCTTCAGTGGCTTTAGGATCAGACTCTACATGAGAGTAGGATCAGGTGCAACATGTTCCAGAAAGTTGCTGCTAAACAATACTATTTAAATAGCATTGTTCTGTTCCAGTCATTAAATCCAATTAGGCTTGAGAAGAAGTGAATTTGGCCTCTCAATGTAAATGATGTTATTCTATTAGTTCTATTAGCTTTAATTATGCTGCAATACATGACTCTCACCACAAACAAAATAATCCCTATTAATTTCATATTTTTTACTAACTTTGAGTAAAATTACTAAAGTGTGAAATGCTGTATTCAAGACACTTGAGATTCAGCTGGTGTAGATGACTGGTTTTGCTGTGATTTCATTTAATATGGAATGCAGCTTGGAGAAGATTGTCATTGCTTTTTGTTTGTTGGTCTTGATTTTGCAGTCATCAGTGCTTGAATGTGTAAGGACTATATATTCAAACATCTGCTTCATCCTCCTTTCTTCTGGCTGACTGTGACGTGCCCATCATCTGGTCAGCGCTATTTGCTGTTGTGTTATAGACCTTGCAAAATAAAGATTCAAGATATCTGTATAATTCAAGGGGAGGGGAGAGTCCTGTTTTCTGGCACATACTGTTAAAAGCAAGCATAACCTCAGCCTTGACCCCTGATTTCAGGATGTGCATTTCACTCGGGTTTATAAATTGTATTTGAGTAATCTTTAGTATGTTGTTCATGCAAAGAGCAACTGTGGCTAAGCAAAGGTGTAATTAGTCACCTGGAATTATAAAGACTCTCTAAAATCAGAAATACTTCTTAGAATATTTTAAGATGCAAATATCATTCTTGAATTAATCTTTCTGCTCTGTCTTCATAGTAGCATTCCAGTTATTAATGAGTAGCAGAGTTCTCAGGTTTTCATTTTTTCCTTCATTTTTCTAGGTTATTCAACAGAGAAACGAGGAATGTGACCACATTCAGTTTTTAATTGAAGAGAAAGAGTCCAAAGAAGAGGACTACTATGAAGACCTTGACAGATTTGAAGAAAATGGTACCCAAGAGTCTCGCATCAGTCCTTATACCTTCTGCAAGGCCTTTCCTTTCCACATAATATTTGACAGAGATCTGGTGGTTACGCAGTGTGGCAATGCTATATACAGAGTCCTTCCACAGGTTAGATGATTCTCATGCACGAAAAATCATAGAGATGCCTAATGCTAGATGCTTCACAGGTTTATTTTAAATATTAATAAAATAGATTTAGGATTCTCTTTCTAAACAGCATTCTTGTGTAACTGTATAACATTTATTATATTGTGCTCCTCTTGTTTGAAAAAGGACTGTGAAAATAGCCCTAATTCTAGAACAGCTGTTTCCTTATGATCATGTCCATGTGCAATAATAGAGTAAGCTTGAGCAGAGAAAACCTGATCAGCCCCACAATTCAGGTGTTAGCTTGATACCCAATTCTTTCTTATAGCTCACTCCCAAGATACATTTGCTATGAAAGTGGCAGATAACTCTTTAAAGTGGGTGTGAGACAGTCAGTGAAGCTTGGCCCGGGGTTCAGAAAATGGTCTTGCCCATACTACTTTATAGTCTAGCAGCAGGTACAGATGGTAATGCCTTCAAATACTTAAGCTGTCAGATGTACAATAACTGAAGAGCAGAATAACAGAAATTGTGGTATACTTTCTTGGCTTGTGCATCAACAGCATCAGTATTAACTAAGATGAGCCAAACTATGCTTGTGATACATATATATGCGTGTTCTGAACTGAATGCAGCTGCTGCAATTTCCTCTGGTTATTTACAGTAAAAGAGTACTCAGAGGTCCATTTAATGTTATGTATTCTGTATATGAATAGGATATCTCAGTTCTTGCCTGAAAGAACTGACAGTGTTACTAAAAATAAGCAACAGGTAAAAGCAGTAATATGAGAGAAGCAAAAGGTAAGACGATGAAAACATCAAATGATCTTTACAATTATGTAGGCTAATGTTTCTGAATCATTGACATGTTTTTTAAATGCAATTTTATGTTATTTGCTTTTTCCTGCAATTTGGTTTTGGTGATTTCTCTCTGAATTTTTGCAGAAAGATTTGAAAGAAGAGCTTTGTAAGTAGCTCTGCCAGGTTTTTCCCAAGGGTGTTCACTGAACAGCTATAACTAATTATTCAGCCTACTGAGGATGGCTATCAGAATCCTTATTATCAGAGCTGATGCTTTGGAGAACATAGCTTATTGAAAAGGGAGTTTGAAGGAGGTCACTTAGGAAAACACTGGAAAGCTTTTTTTACTGTAGAGCGGGAACAGTTTAACAGATAACAAATATGATAGTCTTAACACAATTTTACAAAGTCATCTTGCAGACTAAAACTGCAGTTTGAAGTCAGTATGCTTCTGATGTAAAATCCTTAATTTAAAAACCTTGTGTTTTAATGGACAAATGCATAAAGTATATATGCTCTTCCATTCAATATTGTCATGTAAGCAAATTGAATATAATTACTTCGGGTATATTTTTATTATAAAACATAACAATCCTTTTTTTTTCTTTTTTTTATTATTCTAGCTGCAGCCAGGAAATTGCAGTCTGTTGTCAGTTTTCTCCTTGGTCCGGCCTCATATTGATATTAGTTTCCATGGGATCCTCTCACATATCAATACAGTCTTTGTACTGAGGACCAAGGTAACTAGAGAATATTCACCTGGCTTTTCTTTAAGTAAGTATGCTTTGGAGAGATAAGAAGAAGTGCTGAAAGCTCAGAAGTCTTCAGAGAAAATTCTTTGCACAGTAGTACGCTCAGTCCCTTTTGAGTCTTGAGCCAAGAAAAAGTTACAGGTGTGAATTCATCTGTAGCTGTTAAGTAGAATGCTTTATAGGAGTGGTGAAGTAGTATATGTCATGTCTGATGCTTTCTTTGCAAGGGTCCAACCCATTATATGGCATTCTATCAAAGTAAATGTAGCAAGGCAATTACATTTACTTTTCCTTCATAACAATATGGGAGACAAATATGAAATGTGTTCCTCCTTGGGCCCATATATTCATACACAGTTCCATGTTCTTTTCTCTAGAGAGAGCAGGGAGAAGGTGGGCGATATGAACGAATGTAGAATATAGATTAGCACCTACTACATCAGGGAGCCTGTTTATTTATAGGAAACTGTATCCTGAGAGAAAACAAAATTTCTTAGAGATGCTCCCAGGCACAAATAGAACTTAATAGAATAGGCAATACTTTTGTCAAACTATTGTTAAGAAATGATGCAGAAGAAAGCAATAAGTTATGAACATGAACGTAAAGAAAGATACCATACTTTGTATCACAGTATTAAAATACGGGTAGTGTGTGGTGTTCAAATGATAAATTAATTGGGTTTTAATGTAGGTTGTAACTCTGTTTCTAACATTCTAAGTGCCTTCACAGTGAAGGCGCTTAGGTATGTGGCCTGGTGTGTAACACATGTATCATTGCCCTTATATAATTGTGACTTTTCATCACCAGGAGGGGCTGTTGGATGTGGAAAAGCTAGAGTGTGAAGATGAACTGACTGGCACAGAAATCAGCTGCTTACGCCTGAAAGGGCAAATGATCTACTTGCCTGAAGCAGACAGCATTCTCTTTCTGTGTTCGCCAAGGTACTTTAGACCTTAAGAGTTCTATAATACTGATTTTCCCTTTACAATTACTAATTTTAAGAATACTTATGAAAGTAGTACTACAGAGATTAATTAGTTCAAGTATTGATTTCATTGCTTTTGATATGTTTATACTAAAGAGGGAGGAGCATTTAAACATCAGAACTTGACTGATTATTAAATAATTCAATGTAAACATTGGGATGCTCTGGCTCAGTTTGTACAAACAGGAATTCCTCATGATTCCATGATTTCTGGTAAGTTCTGTCCTTTTGTTTCTTACTCCAAGAGTGCTAAGAAATAGCACAATGATTTGGTTTACTATGTGGATTCATATATTTTTGCAGTAGTTTTAATGTTACAGAGCAGTAATGATTATCAAGAAGAGGTTGGAATGGGGGATTGAATGGAGAGCTTCGCTTCTTTAGTTGAGAGCATGTTGAGCTAACACATCAGATTACACAGTTATGATATGTTAATCTCCTGTGTAAAAGGGAGAGAGTGGATGAAGGCAGAAAGGGAAGAGGCTACTGTAATCTCACTTTTATTTGTGCACTGAAGTATGTACATTTGGCAAGTTCACGGAACTCATCAGTGAGAATTCTGCATTTAAATGCAAAAATCAAGATCCATGTGTTAAGGTGAATGAACACAAATGCGGTATTTCATTGAAGGGTTATACTGTACAGCTCATCACAAGTTCAGAAGCATAATCTTTCTTCTCTAATTCAGCAGCCTCTGCTGTTCATTTGAGTTTGAAACGCTCCTTTGGCAAGTTTAATGGTACCCGTATTATTATATTTTTCATCACATTGCAGCGTTATGAACCTGGATGATTTAACCAGAAGAGGTTTGTATCTGAGTGATATTCCATTGCATGATGCTACCCGTGATCTGGTTCTTTTGGGAGAGCAGTTCCGAGAGGAATATAAACTGACTCAAGAGCTTGAGATCCTCACTGACAGACTGCAGCACACACTGCGTGCACTGGAAGATGAAAAGAAAAAGACAGACACGTAAGAACCAAGTCCTTATTTTGAGCTGAAACAGTCACAGAAATACATTATTTATAGCTACCTTCTTCAAAAAATTACAGAATCTTGGAAGGAATATAAGAGAGATTCAGGGCTGTTAATTTTGGAGTCAAGAAAAATCATTTTACTTTGACTCCTTGTAGGGTATTTCTTTATTTAGATTGTCAAATGTCATCTGCAGTCTAGGCTGTTACAGGCACAGGTGTTTTGATGGTTCTTTCCCTGATAAGGAAGGTTATGGGAAGCAAACTGACAATCCTTGTTTTGTGAATTACCTGCATCGGTAGTTTTGCAAGCTTTCTTACATGCAGTCCCTGTAGCCAAGATGAATTTGATGAATGCCCAAACGCTACTATTTGACAGAATTCTGTAAACCAGCTGTAGACCACTTTGTCTTTCTGGACTGCCATGCTCAGATGTTAATAGAACAGAAAAACCTATCTTATAAGCCTCAAAAATAGTCTATGTAAAGGTAAAGTTTTACAATAGGCTAATGCTCTGAATTTGATTTTATAGTTACTTCTAGAATTGGACTCAGGGCTATCTAGATAATACTACTATCTACATATAAGTACATAAAAATAATAAAGTATATGCATTGGGCCCCAAATCCATTTCTACAGGTAACTACAAAATCAAATTCAGAGCATTAGTCTATGGCAGCTCAGCTCAAGGACTACTGGCAGGTAAATTAAACAAAAGTTTGTGTGACAAGCAGTGTGGGGTTGATGGTTGACTGTTGTTTATAAATATTAGTTCCCATCTCTGTAATAGAAGAATTTCTTGTGGATTATACTTGTTTAGTGGTAGAATTAACATTTGTTGTGCTATGAATTCTATTGGCATATTTTTTTTTCTGTAGTAGATTAATGGAAATTATTGTAAAAAGACTTGAAAGGGATGGACGGAAGAGTTGGAAAGAAAAGAAGCCTAAAAATATTTTTCTGTTCATTCCTGTTGACTTGCTTTATAAAATCATTTTATCTTACGGAATTCTAGCCACCTTGGCAGCCCCTAGAGCAGACAATGTCAGTTAATGTATCATGTGCCAAAAGTATTCACTAATTATAACTCATGCAGTAGTGAACTTGCTAAAAATGCAACTAATGAGGGTTTGTGCGGAGGCTGTGTACAAAATGATGCTCAAGATTTGTGAAACAGTGAGAGATTTTCAGCTTGCCCACTTAGCTTGTTTAAGGAGGGAAATGCACCTTAAGTTCACAGTTAGAAAATTGAAGGAATACACATGAGAGTAGGGTCAAGCTCTCTGTGTGTGATTTGGATTTTATTTGTGTAATTTGTAATATGAACAAGTGTTAAATGTCATACAGACTATTAATTAAAAAAACACACAATAAACCCTAAAACAACAGAAGAGGAAGCATTTAGTAATGCATGAACTGATCAAAGTTGGAAAACTGTTTAACGTCTTCATGGCCGTTTTTGGAGTTTTTATGATTCTGTGAGCAGAACCAGATTATATGAGCTGAGGATATGGCAGAAATGCTTAAGAGATAAGCAAAAATTATCCAAGACAGTATTAACAGATCATGTCAGAATTATCAGTAATATATGCCTCATTTTGTTGGTAATTTAGATATATTAATGTGTGTTTGAAACGTCATGGCTTTAGGTATGCTGATGTAGATCAGTTCCTGCTTCCCAAATAACATATTCTTCCGTAAACATCTTTTATATTGCTCTTTGATGATGCAAGTATATTATAAACCCTATGGGAGGAACTAAGTTAATATTTGAAGAGTGCTGATGTAAAGACCTTTTTCCACATTCATTCTGTTTTGCTTGTGCCTTTCTTTTCTTACATGTTTAGATTACTGTACTCTGTTCTACCACCGTCAGTGGCAAATGAGCTGAGACACAAGCGTCCTGTTCCAGCCAAGCGGTATGACAATGTGACCATTCTTTTCAGTGGCATTGTGGGATTCAATGCCTTCTGTAGTAAACATGCCTCTGGAGAGGGAGCCATGAAGATTGTTAATCTCTTAAACGATCTTTACACGAGATTTGATATTCTGACTGATTCACGAAGGAATCCATTTGTTTATAAGGTAAGCAGAAGATTTTCAAAGTATTTAATCTGTGACTATTCAATAATTTACTATCATGTCACTCTTTTCCATCCTTTGGATTTTAGGCTTTTTAAAAAAAAAGTTATGTTCCCAGTCTTTGAACTGTGTTACCTAATACTACATAGCTAAAGAAGAGTATGTTGTTTATCTCTAAATGTGTGAAGGAACATAAAGGGCTTATTTCTCAGCAGGATTTCTGCACAGTCACCCATTAGGGGATGTATAAATCTACTTTCACATTCAGGAGGTATCAACACTTATGCAAGCCATTTGTGGTTCTGCTGACCCTGTGCTTTAAGCTTTTCAGTCACATATGTGGGTTTCCTGGTTGTAAATTATAACTTATTATTCAGTTATTCAGTGTGAATTTCATTCCTTCGTTAGGAATGAGGTGTAGTTGCAGATGCTGCTGGTAGCAGGTAGATAGCTTGAGAGACGTAGAGAGATATATATATATATATCATATATATATGTACATGTGTATGCTTGTGTGTTTATATGTATAAGATTAATTCTGAGCTTTTACTAGAAGTCAATTTTATGTCCTGTACCAATTGAATCACCATAGTGCTCAGTTTCTACAGAAATTCAGAAGACCCCAAAAGAGAGGCTCAAATTCACACAGTCACAGTGTCATTTTAATTTGTTACATTCTGGGCATGCAATAAATTCTCTTAAATAACAAGCAGAGATGATGGGAATTAGGGTGATTTGAATGAAAGAGAAACTATTCGAAGGGAGAAGCAGTCTTGAAGGAAGGACTATGTCCATTCTAGTACTTTAAAGCCCATGATAATAAAGTAATGGAAAAATATGTATCTTGATAGGTGGAAACAGTTGGGGACAAGTATATGACAGTGAGTGGTCTACCAGAGCCTTGCATTCATCATGCACGATCTATCTGCCACCTGGCATTGGATATGATGGAAATAGCAGGCCAAGTTCAAGTAGATGGTGAGCCTGTACAGGTTAGTAAACATGTGGGCTTGAATGAAGAGCCCATTCTTTGATATGATGATAATGCTTTGAAATATGATAATACTCAAGTCCTGGCCTATGGAAGCTTTGTTACTGTTAGATTTTGAGACTGATATCTGCAAATAATATGAAGAGTCGCCTGTAGATGTGACGTGCAGTTCCCAGACCTTAAAATCTAATTATTATGCTTAACCTTTTAAATGACTAAATTAGGTCCACATCCATTTATGGTTGTTTTCCCATCATTTCAATCTAAAATCAACAGATTCCCATTGCGCATCAAGCACAATTCATTGAGTCTTCTTCATCTCAATGAACAGAACAATAATATTCCCTCACTGATATTTTTGATCACGCTTCAGATCCTGACATCAGCATGAGAAAATATTGCATTAAAAAGTACAGTTCCATAGGCAATTATGGCAATGATTAATGGCAACAGTGTGTATTAGAGGAAGTTCACTCAGTGTGGGATTTTATGAAGATATTGGGGCATTAAAACAGAACTAGGGAGGCTGCATTGACCTGTCCTCATCAGAAGGCTGTGAGAGCAAAATAAGTAATGAGTGTGATGCATATTTCTATTTACATGATTGTTACTGGTCTAACACCTAGCTTAGATCTGTGTACTTCACTTTGTCACTGGGAAAAGATGTGAGAAGGTTTGATTTCAGGCTTTACGATAACTATAATGTGCTATAAGAATGAGCTTCTCCAAACCCCTGTCCTATCTCTTGAGCTTTAAAATGCAAAATACCATGATGTTTCTTTTTTTCTTGACCTACATCATCCATTTCTGCATCTTCTGAGTGTTCATTAAACACAGACCTGCAGAGTATGCCTCTCTTTCCACTTTTTTTAATTTCACAGTACATAATAGCAGCATGGCATTGTGAATGCTGGAAGAAATACGGAGTTTGTTCTTTCATGTGGGAGCTAGAGCCATGACACTGCACTAGGATAAAAAAAAGTGACACAAAACACAAAATGAAAGGCTTTGAAGAAGCAGGAGTAGCACACTGAAAAAATAAACTCTTAGTAGATAGAAATGGCATAATATCTGTATTTAGTCAGAAGCATCAGATTGGTTACATTGACTCTGAATATTTGAACTTTATTTTTTCTCTAAAGATAACAATAGGAATCCATACTGGTGAGGTAGTCACAGGTGTCATAGGCCAAAGGATGCCACGTTACTGTCTCTTTGGAAATACTGTCAATCTAACAAGCAGAACAGAAACTACTGGAGAAAAGGGAAGGATCAATGTCTCTGAATATACTTACAGGTAAGTGTTGCAGCATTTTTACTGGTGTTGACATCTTCAAAGAAATCACTTTGTCAACATAACATCAAAGTGTCTTTGGAGTTGAAAGTGACAGGACGCTTGCAAAACATTATTTAAGTACATGAGTTCTCATGAAACTGTATGGCAGACTGTATTTTGATATACAGTTATTGTTATGCAAATATAATAATGATTTAGAGATAGATTTGACTCTTCTGTTAATTTGCTCACATGACTGTAGCATGTTTAATATTTTATATCATGCGTGGCATGCATGCACAGTACATACATTTACATGTTTTCTCTTTCAATTTCAGGTGTCTTATGACACCAGACAATTCAGATCCTCAGTTCCACCTGGAGTACAGGGGTCCAGTTTCTATGAAGGGTAAAAAAGAACCAATGCAGGTTTGGTTTTTGTCCAGAAAGAGTACAGAGACAGAGGTATGACTAACCAGAGTGTAATTTTTTTTTTTAAACAAGATGTAAACATGACAAATTTAATCTAAACCACTGAGATCCATTTGCATTTGCAAAACTAAATATTCCCTAGAAAAAATGAAGTTTTGTACAACACTATTTCGTTAATGCATTTACTATCTTGACAGCCCATTGAAGTCCTTGATTATTTGTCTTTGCAGTTTGTGCAGTCCCTGAAAGAAATCTTTTGTATTTTAAAAAGGCCTTGAGAGAATGCCAAGTGTTTAAATATTTATATCTCCCTCTTCTTACGGATTTCTCTACTGTACTAGATTTCGCAATATAATGTCCATTTCTGTTTAGCTGACATGTCTGCTTATCAGCACTTCAAAATTCACCATTTGTTTTTTTACAATGAGTGAATAAATGTGCCTTCAAATATTTAGGCAACAGTCCAGCGACTACCTGCAGGCAGGTTCACACCTGATGTGTATGGTGGTCTGTTAACCCCAGAGGGATCTCCTTGTTCAGAGACTGTTGCATGATAAAGAGGTCTCGCTTTAGAAATATACGTGGTGGAAACTATTTTTTGTAAATGACATATCACCCTAAATCCCCTTCTCAAAATGATGTAGGGTAAAGCTCTTGAAGCACTGAGTGCTCTTTGAGTTTATGCCTCAGTTTCAGAAGTCTGGGTATGTATTAACCAAAATCTCATTAAAAGTCAATGAGATCTAGACTCATAAGTGTGCTACAAACTTAGACACTTAATCAGGTAACAGTACGCCAGCTGATTTGCCATAGCTGAGCAGGTGTGTACTTTCCACCCATTGCCAACAGGGAGAAAAAAAAAGGGTAAAAGTAATTTACATAGCTTGAATTTTGTCCTGAAGTAATACAAAGAGACAGAGATCTAAGCTAATGTATTTAATCTTAAAAATACACTTGACTAAAATAGTGAAAATCATCAGTTATCTTGGCTGAAATAATTCTTGTAAGTCACAGGAAATTAATTACACGTCTGAATGTGCTTCTGGAAGTGAAATTTAGGCTGTTAAACTGTTTGGGCTCTTTAGGAGATGTAATCTAGATTTATAAAACACTGGTACCCAAGTATATGAATACTGACTTTTTAATGATAACTCCCAGTATTAACCCCCAGTATTAAACTTCAGGGGAGAGCCTGTACTTTAACTCTGCTGAAGTCTGTATTTTAGTATATATTGCTTACAATAATACTTTGGGTGCCACTTTTGATAATACTTTTCTGGTTTTATTCTATAGCAAGATTAACTATAAGTTCATATGACTACCATTCTTTCAAATCTATAGTTGTATTTAAAATATATTTTAATTAAACAGCTTTCACTTTTTTCTGCATTATAAATTATGTCCTATCATTTGTAGCAGGGCACATTGTAATTTTAAATGTAAAATTTCAGAGGCATACTGAGTCAGGTGGGTATTTTCCTTGTTTCAGTCTCACATATGTTTACTATGAATATAGGATTCAGATAGTTTAGAATTTTAAATATTGCAATTTCCTTTTAGAGATCTTGTACAACAGGTGGTTTTGTTAATCCTCACAGCAGTCCTGAGAGGTATTTGCTGATACTATTATTTAGTAACCGAGCTTTGTAGAGAGGGACATGGGGCAAAAATAAACCTGACAGAAAAATACTGTCAGCCTGATTTTCAGGAGCGCTTAAGGCTCACAGTTTAAGCACACTCAGAAAGTCTTTCTAATTTTTGTTAGTTTTTGTTAATTCTGAAATTCAGATATACCTGTAGTTCTTACAGATAAAAGGACTTCTCCCATCACAGGTCTCTCTCCTAAATTGTAGTAAGTTTGAGAGAATAGGAGACTAGAAAGATACATTCATGTGGCAATTGGAACTGGTAATCATTTTGTCAGAGGTGATTTTGAAAAGTGAAAGACTATAATCCTCTAACCTTTCAATTCTTTTTCACTCCTTGCACTATGTCATCTGCCATACACAAAAAGATGCACTGAGCTTTACTCCGTTAAGATTTTCTGAACTGTTTGCAGTTTCTCTTTGTCTTGTGAAGGTATTCTTCACGTTATTTCTGGCACTTTATAGGCTGTACATAATAGTCGTAATCCAAAGCGGAAATCACATAACCAACTTGTTATGTTTGATTACCTTAGAGTAATAGCTTTGCTTTAGGCAAGGGTGTAGTTTTGGTTTTCTTTTCAGAATCTTTTTCTCTCTGACCTTTCAAACACGTACACACGTTAATGTATTATCACATGCAGTACCGTTCATAGCAATAAATATGGCATGTTAACGTATATTCAGAAACTGTATAGTAAACTTCCTGAAAGGTCATTCCAGAATATTGCAAGGAGTGGCTTATAGAGGTGAACATGAAAATATTTCTTAAATCATGCTGAAGATATTTCTGCTGATTATTCTTTTACTGTGAAGTTTTCTACCTCTAATATCTTTAAACCTAGGATAGATTCACATTAGTGATATATTCTCCTTTTCATTATATCCCTAGAGAGTGATTAGCTCAGAAACGCAAATCTATCAGCATAATATTTTACCCTGAAGCCCAGTAATTAATATATGGTGAGGAAAGAGGACAAAATGCTTACAGCTGGCATAGAGATGTGAAACCAAGGCTTAACATATGCTGTCTCTCTGCTAGGCCTGCAGAATATGAGATGGTTGGAGTAGCTCAGCATACCTCATACTTGGTTCCTAAGTCGGCATCTCTAATATCAGTGACCATGAGCAGTATTTACTTCTGAGAAAGACCTGATTTACAAGAATCAGTGTCGGTTTGGAGTGCCGTTCCTTTACTTTTTTCCACTTCAGATATCTCTTCCATGATACCATTACAGCAAAAATCAGAATTGCATCAGAAATATTCATGGAACAAAATCAACTGTGACCAATTACTCATTTTGCATCGGCTTGTTTGCATGTTGTAAGATTAATTATTACTATAATTATTCTTTTAACAGAGGTTCAGCTGCAGCTTCTGTCTTGAGAAACAGATTTTTTGTAAAAAATAAAGCTTGCAGAGAGCCTCCAATGTCTGGCTACAATTTCCATCATTCCCCACTTTCAAATGTCTTTCTCTTCTGCCCTGTCCCACATTACTGATGGGAACAAGTTAAAAGTATCTCAGTCAGAGCTGGTAGTTCATCATGGAATGTAGGAATCGTTACATTCCTACATACAACACCTATGAAAGAAATACATGCGTTACCTATGCTGTGTTTTATTATTTTTATTATTTACTGATATTGGCTGCAAGTTGTAAAATGTATTTTGTCACTGCATTGACCCACCATGTTGTTGCTTCAAAGAAAATCCCTTACTTCTCAAATTCTACTTGCATGCACTCAAGGAAACAAAGCAAGATGCTTTCTGAGCTGAGCGAAGAGGAAGAAGACGCTGGATAGGGTGAAATACTGTCTTCAAATAGGGTGCCAGGCAGTAAGGTTGAGTTATGGTTGTTATTTCATGTCATATCTCCCATTCCCATGCGCAGTACCATTGTCTTTTGCTCTGCTCCTGAAATCATACTCACCATTTTTCTCCAGGCTTGCTTGCTATGGGTTTTTTTCCTTAATGTTTGGTATTGTCGTATCTGTGCTATGAGCATGTATTTCAAGCTTTCCTTTTTTTGATACACATTTTTGCACGTCAGTCATGTGGCCCTTCCTACCACCAAGATAACACTGAATAAAATTTTGTAGTATGCACGCCACAACTAACCATTTAGATCTGATGCTTCACATCTTCATCTTCATCTCTGAAGTATAGTGGTTACATGAATCAGTGGAATTTCTGGAAAGATAGGTATTTCAGTTGTTGGGCAGAAAAATGAACCTAAAGAACTATTTTTAAAAATAATACCTAAAGCAGCATTATCAAAATTATTGTATAAATGTTGTTTATCAGATTTAGTTCTGCTATTACCATGCTTCCTATTAATTTTGTGAATAACACTTGATGCACTGTAAATTCCTGGTTAGAAAAAGGTTCCTCTTTTGATACCATCCTGCATTTTCCCTTTGTAGACACTATGTAAACATTTTCTATGTTGAAAGAGAGCAGTAGTTTGTCTGATACTGCCATTTGAAGCATGTGCCAATGTACTTCTACTGAAATGCTGTTCACTTGCAATGTATTTCTCATTGATTTATATTAACTAAATTAAGTTGTCATGTCAATAATAGGTTGCTGGACAATTTTAGACCACCTGTAATGCTTTGAATCTTTTCCGATGGAGCCCTCAGAATTGAAAGGCATGCTGCTGGGACGTGGTTGTCATGGTTGCCTTTTGGTTTGGTCTCTCTAATTTTCAGAAATGAACTTATTTTATTCCTTGGGAGGACCTGATAATATTCTAGGCATCATGGCATAATTAAGGGATGTAAAGCTTGTAAGGGGACATAGTGTCTTTTATCAGCTGATAAAGTTAGTAAAAGTAGACAAGGTTTCCGATGCATAGACCTTCCATAACTTCAACATACAGTGCATTTCTATGTGAATAATATCCATTCTTATCTGACTGATAGTTTCTGAATATTTGCATTAAAAATAGGATAGTGCAATTACTTTGTGTATAAAAATTCTCTGTATCTAGTATAACTTATCATCACAAAATATATATGTATAAATGTTTCATGTTAATGTGCAAAAAAAATTACAATAAATTATTTTTTCCACTGACTTACAGAAATTTGGGGATTTTGTTTTTGGTGAAAGCTGCATTTCATTGTTTGATACAAAACAAGTATGTTCTCCATTCCATAATTTGAAGTCCAACTTTAAATAATCTATCAAGTCATTATTCCAATGTTTGCAAATGCCCAAGAATCTCCCACATTCAGGTTAATGGATCACATCCTCAGATTAAAGTAGTGTTCAAAATGTGTAGGTTAATGCTCCAAAAATAGTAGATGAGGTCACAAAAATGCATACATTCCTTTGAAACTCTTAGACAATATTTAACAATCAAAAATGGTTAGTTGTCCACTTTGAGCAGGATGTACATTGCCAACCAAAGCTTTAGGAATGGGAAATGAAGAGGGGAAGCCACAAACATTCCTTTCCATCATCTCACTGTCGGACAGCAACGCATCCCAGCACTCCACGAGAGATCGCCCTCGCTCTAATAGGTAGACAACAGCAGTTTGCACTTGAAGTTGATCAAGCTTACCAAAGCTTTAGTGGTGACTCCTAAAGACATGGGATTTGTGACAGCTGTGTTGTGCATTGACATAATTCATGTAAATGGATGTGAAGTAACTGGAGTTTCTGTATCGCGCTTCAAGCTGATGGAAGGTGGCATGTCAGAATACTCAGATAATGCTCCGAGTTTATATTTTACCTTGTTAATCATTTCAAAGTATTAAAGCTCCTATTAAGCTACTGTGTAACATAACCAATTTCTTAAAACTCTAGAATAATAGCTCCTATACTGTGTTCATATCAGAGCTTTTTATCTTAAGGAAAGCAGTACAATTTAGGCATGTAACCACTTTTATTACTAAAACTGATCTTCACTTAACTGATGCATTCCACTACTAAAATTATACTTTGGTTAAATATTGCTGTCAGATAACAGTTAAAAACTTCTGCAGGTATTTAGTTCTTTTATGTGTGCTCTATTGCCTTTTATTTAACTACAGTGATTTACCTTTACAATAGAAGCTCTCTAGCTGAAACATGAGGCAGAGTAATTGCTAAAGTCTGTTTCAAAGGCGTTTACAAATGCATCTGTTTTAGTTCAGTATTTTTTGTAAAAAAGTGGAAACAAGGAGAAGAAAGGGGAAAGCAGCAATGAAATTGCAAATTACAGAACGCTTAGCTGTTTGTAATCTTCTGCAAAAAACCTGCAGCAATATCTGCTGTCTCCACCAATGGACTCTTTATTATTGCCAGGAAAAGGCTAATGTTCATTTTCATCATAAGGGTCGATGGGTCTTTCTGCCAATGTGACTGTTTTGGAGATAACGACAACCAGGGAATGTAAGAACAATTTTGTGATTATTATTCTGGGATGAAGATGTGTGCTCTCTGTTATAAAGGTTTTGTTCCAGACTATTCCACGTATCCAGCAGTCAGATTGACATTGCCTTTGTTATTGTTTTTTTGCAGAGGTGATTATGGGGATTTCAAGAGAGAGAGAGAGCAACTAGTACAAATTTTATGCTACAGTACTATTGTACTCTGGAGGAAAGCGATTTTGTGTGATGAGGGTCTGTGAACTCGCAGCAGTCAGCCAATGCTAGCACACATTTGTTTTTATCTGTTCATGTGCTGGACACCTCTGGCATGAAGCCTGTGTGGTTTTTTATATTGCAGGTTCTCAGGGTCATTCTAGCCTTCCAAAACTGATTTTACACTTTGATAAAGTGTGGTATCCTGTCTAGTGCTCAAACAACTGTCATTAAATTGATTAAAATGATAGAACTTAGCTGAGCGCAGACAAAAGACTGAAAGCGTTCATAGTCCTTAGCTGGTGTTAATCATAATCCTGAACTGAAAACCAATTAAGTCAATAGTCCTTGAGCCTTTGTTTAAAAATAATAACCAAACCAAAAAACCTCCACAAAAACTACATGGCCATAGTTTTCAGATGAGAAATAAAACTCTCTGAGTTCAGTATTGCTGGCTTTAGCGTCTGTGTCCATGTGAGCATAGTGTTGTAATGAACTGTGAAAAATCAAACCAGCTTCATAAATCTTACTGAAATATGCAATGTACTAAGTGTGAAGAAATGCACATCTATCTCTCACAAGTCCTAAACACTGTGTGTAAGGTTCCTGGAAAGAAAAGAAAGCAGGTTATGCCCTGTTATTTTCAAATGTTGTCTGCAAGTCAACTTAATAAATGGCAATTTTCATATGCAAATTTAAAAAAAAAATAAATTAGGAGGTTGAAGAGTAAGTATCCTTTTCCACAGAGGGCATAGTGAATCATTCAGAGATTTAACAGCCTGTACAAGAAACCAAAGCCTTGCCTTCTGTCACATTATAGGTGTTTGTGGGCAATTATATAATGATCTAGAGGATAAGAAACTTGCCCACAAATTGAGGTTATATGCCTTTTCACAAAGCCTTCCTTTCCCACATCATCCTGCTCCTCAGGTTTTAGAAATATATATATACATCTACACACATACCACACTTTCAACTTCTGTGTAGGCCACCTCTCTTCTTTCCTTGCTGCTGGGGCCTGTGTCCAGGGAAAAAGACGATGCTCGTGAGGCCTATAGAACAAGTGCATAATACTGCAGTAATCCTGATGAAGGCACTGTGTACTCTCCAGTCCCTGTCACTGCATTCCTTCTTTTCTGTTTAACATAAAATGTACGAGCAATCTTAGGAGCACAGCTGTTGGCAGAGAAGGGTACAGCTGGGACAGGAGGGGAACACCTGAGCTCCAACTAGAATGATGAAGAAGTGTGTCAGATTGCAAACATTTTTTTCTCATCTGCAGCTCATACTGTGTAAATTTAAGGTTTGGTGTATATACATTGTTAAACTAGAGATGTCAGTATTATTTTAAGCTATAATTAATTGTTTTATCATGGAGATGCCAAGAAAAAGTCAACTTTTATTTATGAAATACTTGTCCTAGGACAGGTTTTTCACTTACTCTCATTATTGGGCATGATTCATTTTCCTGCTGTGGTATGTGTGGGTAAACATTGACTTGTATTTTCAGTTAGAAAACACAGCACTACAGCTGGAGACAATCTCCATTGTCTCTTGCATTGCCAGGTATGTCACATTTTAACTAATTTTCCAGTAGACTGGAAGTTAGCAAATGTGACGCCCATTTACATGAAGGGCTGGAAAAAGGATCTGGGGAACTATATGCTTGTCAATCTGCCCTCAGTGCTGGGGAAGGTTATGGAGCAAATCATCTTGAGTGCTATCACGCGGCACATACAGGACAATCAGGTGATCAGGCCCAGCCAGCATGGGTTTGTGAACCTCAGGTCCTCCTTGACTAATGTGATCTCCACCTATGACAAGGTGACCCGCTTAGTGGATGAGGGAATGACTGTGGATGTTGTCTACCTAGACTTTAGTAAAGCCTTTGACACCATTTCCCACAGCATTCTGGAGAAAGTGGCTGCTCATGGCTTGGACAGACATACTCTTCGCTGGGTAAAACTGGCTGAATGGCCAGGCCCCAAGGGTGGTGGTAAATGGAGTTAAATCCAGTTGGTGGATGGTCATAAGCGGTGTTCCCCAGGGCTCAGTGTGGGGCCAGCTCTGTTATCAATGATCTGGATGAGGGGATTGAGTGTCAGATGACACTAAGCTGGGTGGGAGTGTCGATCTGGTCGAGGGGAGCAGGGCTCTGCAGAGGAACCTGGATAGGCTGGCTTGATGGGGTTGAGGCCAA